TTGTTATTGTTATATTACTAATTGATATGTTTATTTTAAGGATTATGAGCGGGACATAAAATTGGACATGATTGAATCACTAAAAAAAATTATATTTTTAATGATTAATATTACAATTTGTGGCAGTTAAAAATTGCCACAAATGTTATTTTTAGTTTTTAAAATAACTGTTAAGTTGATGTGCGTCAAAAACGAATTTTGGTAAGAATTATTTAATCTTAGCTCATGTGCGTCAAAAACAATTTTCGGCAGGACTTATTAAATTGTTGGCATTGGTTAGAAAAGAAATGACATTTATTGATGGTTAAAAACTGCCGGAAAGCATATTTTCAATTTATTTTATTTTAACATTATTATCAATTGATTTATGAGATAAGATTTATCCCATAATTTTCAGATGATTTACGGGTTTCTTAAGAGCTGCATGTGAAATCAAGTTGTTTAATTTGTGCATATTTCGCGGATAAATCCTTAAAATTAGTATCTTCACACACTAGAGAAAAAGTTATCTAATGTGCATTGTTCATTATTTCAGGTTATTAATATGTGCGTGTGTCATGAACACCGGTTGCAATGACCATAACTTCAATCTCTCCTTGTTTGCAGGTAGAACCAGAATAAACACCATCGCCTGGACCCTTTGTCACCGGTAGTGACTCACCTGTGAGTGCAGACTGAAAAGTACAAAGTACCAGAGAAAAAACAGGATAATTGACCAATTAGGCATGTGGTGGATTAGACATTAGAGGAGCAAATATTATATGCTAGCATCAGCTGGAATAATATCTCAAAGCTTGATGCTGATTATGTCACAGGGAACCAGGACTGCAGCATCTTGCTCACTCCACCTACCATCTCGAAGAACATTTACAAACACACTCATGCGAGATGAAACAATGAAAGGTAAAAAGAAAGAATAGATTCCTTCCAGATGCAAACTGCATCAATAAGAATATGGAATCCATATAGAGATAAAACAGAAGGGTTTGACTCCTATAAGATTTAAATTGCATCTTATATTGAGGTCGGGGTTTTACAACATGTTACTAAAATAGGAAACTGACATAAGATTGTTTCATAATTAAAATAAACCATAACTATAGAACTTAAACATTAACCATAGTCAAACCACTCGAAGCCGCAAAATCAATTGCGACACCACCATCAGAAAGTCGCAAACCCCGACCTCAGCCTTCGACTTTGAGTTGAGACCACCAACATTACCGAGGTTGAACTTTGTCCTACTATACTGCAAGCTATCTCTCCCAAGCAAACCCATGTTTACAAATTATCAAATTTCTCCTACTCAAACCTCAAATCCAGAACTGTTACCTCCACTACTACTAAAATTTCTCTTATTTTATGCAATTTTTTTTTATAAATTTTTATGAAAAATTCGTAAGAAATGTTATTCTTACAAATTTTTTTACAAAATTTTATTTACAAGTAATACCTTTGTAGATAATATTTTTTTATGAATTTTAAAATTTGTAGAAAATTTTCTTGCAAAAAAAATCGCGGAAAAGTTTCCTGCAAAAGAAAGGTAGGTATTGCCCCAACTTATATACTCTTTAATTATTTTATTTTCAATCGATGTGGGACTTAAAGTTTTTTAAAAATATTAAATTTATAAATTTAAATTTTTTTTTATTTTTCCTGCGGATTAAAATTTGCAGGAAAATCAGCAGAAAAAGTTATCTGCAAAATTTTTCTACCATTTATTAAACATTACTTGCGAATTTATTTTTTGCAAGAAAATCTGCAAGAAACAAACTAAAATTCTTACAATATTTTCTACAAATTTTTACCACGGAAAAAGAATTCTATGATTATTAAAATTGTAGCAAAATTTATAAGAAACATCTGTAAATTATTTTTTGCAAATAAATTCGCAAAAAAATTTTGTGAATATTTTTTTGCAGGAAAATTTGCAAAAAAAATTTACAAATATTTTTTTGCAGGAAAATTCACAAAAAATTTCTGCAAATAATTTTTCGCAAGAAAATGACACTTTTCTAGTAGTGCACACCCCCAACGAACTCTCAACACAAATGCACACCAAGAGAAGTCACACCAAACATAATATTGATCTATCATGCAAGCCTTGGTCACTAACCACCAAGACAGTTATCTCATCTCCAAAGTCAATTCAAGTACATAATATTACAATGCATTTGTAACACTATTTTGACTTATTTTATTAATTGTATGATTTGTGATTAATTATTATTGTTTTAGAGCTTTAAGATTATTCCTTTAAGAGTTAAGTTGTTGTTAAGGTAGTGTTAGTTAGAGTTGAGTTGATCTAACATAAAGAATGGTATATAAGGTTTTCTTAAAATGTAAACTTCATAAGTTTATATTTTAAGAAAAGTTAAAAAGAAATTAGTTAGATAAACTTTAAGGTCGAAGGAACTTTCTTCTTCTTTTTCTTCTACTTTAGCTAATCTCTTTTAGTCCATTCCCTCGGTTAGGCAAAGATAGTAGATCATTGGATTCGAAACCTAGAGACCAAGAATTTGAGTTGAGTCATGTAGAGTTTTTCCCATTCTTCTTCCACCTTCTCCTCCCCTTCTCATTTTTGGACAATTTAAGGTGAGGGAAGTTTGTTGGTTGAAAATTTGTTGATGTATAAGTGTTGTTTGTTGCCTAGAATCATTGACCGTAGTTGAAATTGTTTGAATTATAGGATGATGATGTTATTTTAGAGTTTTTTGTTCCTTAAAGATGTTTTGGAATATAATTGATGATTCTGGAATTGAGATGGATGGATGTGGTATTTTGTGATATAATTGTTTTATACATGTTATATATGTGTTAAAATTATGATTGCATATTGATCATTTGCTAAGTTCCAGATGGACTGAGTCAAAATAGGATTCTACCAAGTGAGAAAATTCTCATCGCACTAGGTGCACATTCATGGCATCGAACGTGGCTCAAGTTAGGAGCTCTCTACCTTAATCGCATCCGGCGTAGTATCAATAACACTAGGTGTGGAGCAATGAAGAGTTCTCTGACTTAGTCACGTTAGGTGTGGAGTGATAGGCATTGGCGTGAGCACTCAAAGAGCTCTCTAACTTGGTAACGATGAGCTTTAAGATGAATGGCCTCAGGTGCGATCAAGATAAAGACTTTTTGCCTATACGACGTCGGGCGTCAGTGTTGTGACGTCGTACGTGAGTCTGGTAAAGACTCTCTACTTGAATGAGGTCGAGGGTGGGTCTAACCATGTCATGCATGATTGACTCAAATGTTCTCAGTCTCATCCATGTCAGTCGTAGGTGAGTCAAAGGCTATTTTCCTTAATTGACATCAAACGCGGGAAGAGTGGCACCAGGCATGACTTGTTGAATGAAAACTTGGTGTTTTAAGTTGCTTAAGGATTGAAGAATGATGATTCAATTATATAGTTGATGTTGTATGATGATAGTTTGTTATGCATTGATCTAAGATAATGTATAGCAATGTATGAAGTTGTTTGAGTTGTAAGTGGATAGTTGATTTAGTTGCAAAGTTGTATAATGTTATAGTTGATTAAATTGTTAAGTTGTTAGGCATGTAATAATGATATATGTCTTAGTTGAGATATATATAAATTAGAGGAGAATAAAGTTGTTTAAAAATAAAAATAATAGTAGCTAATTGCTTATTTTTAAACCTTCACCTTGAGCTCTCAATTTGTTGTAATGGAAGAAAAAAATTAAAATGTGAGAACATCACCAAGAAATTTGTAGTGGATAAAAAATGAAGATTTTGAATTAGATTTTAAGATTTTAGTAGAATATAAGAGTTTATGATTAAGAGAATAGAGAATGAATAAAAGGATTATATATGTGTATGTATAAAGGCAAAGAAAGAAATTCCAATGTGATCCTTATTTATTAACTATAAGAGAAACATTAGATTAGAGAAATTAAAAGAAATAAGTCAACAATATATTATATTATATATCACAATTTTCTCTTTATATTTAAAATTACTGATTTATTTTTCTAAAATTACAAGTAGATTTTTATTAAGAAATAAAAACATCACATATCAATTGATTAATTGTTGTTGATTAATTTACTTTTAATAATAATATTTTTCTTATAATTTAATTATATAAATTTTATTTTTATATTTAAATAAATAACTGTATCCCTCTAAAATTGGACTATAGACAATTACCCATCTTAATTGTGCTCAATATCACTATTAAGTACGAAGGTTTGAATCACACTAAATAAATTTAAGATAATAAATACTTATTAAAATATTATCATAAATATAGATATGAAAAGTTGAAATACTTTATATAAATTTGTATAAACTTTTTTATTTTAATTTGACATTTTTGTATGTTTTTTCATCAATATGTGTGTAAGGACCAACTTTTGTTTCAAAGATAAATATTATGTATATAATACAAAAAATTAGTAAAAAATAAACCTAAAAAATACTCAATAAAATGATAAAATAAAATATAAAATGACATAAATTTAATAATACAAAATAGTGAATTTAAGAATTAAAAAATATATATATAATGAGAAATTAATTAACTAATAAAGAAAAGGTAAATAGTAAGAACATTGAAAAGAGAAAAGAAAAAAAAAAATAATGTAGCTGTACCCTGGAATGGAACAGTATGGTAAGTCTGGCCCGGGTTCTGGTCTACTGAAAAATAATAAAAGGTCCCATTTTTGTTTTGGAGGGGACATTCCGAAAAAGGAAGATACTGTCCCCACCTAGGATTTGCCGTGTCTGCTGGTTCGCCTCCCTAGGAAGACCTTGCTGGGCTGCAATTATTATATAAAAATAAGGTATTTCATTTTAGTTATTAATCGATAAATATGACTAGATTTTGTTATAAAAGAACTAAGTTGAGCCGATGCAAAAGGTGACAGTAAAGATTTTTTTGTCGTTTCTCCCAGCATAGAAATTTGTGATGCAAAGAGCCTCTTAAATCGTCCACATCATCATCAAGAAATGCAATAGCCACAAACCATGCGACTATAAAATTAAAGAGGGCGAGATCAATCACACAAGTGATAAATTACACGAGAAAGAAACATAGTCTGAGACTCATACTACTACTAATTTTGCCTCTTTAGGTAGTATAGCCATGGATTTCCACACAAACAATCCTCACTTCGTTTTGTTCCCCCTAATGGCTCAAGGGCACATCATTCCCATGATAGACATTGCAAAAGTATTGGCACAGCATGGGGTGATTGTTACCATTTTCACTACTCCAAAAAATGCATCACGTTTCAATTCAGTTATTGCTCGTGCTGTTTCATCAGGCCTCCAAATCCGGCAAGTACAACTCTATTTTCCATCAAAAGAAGTAGGACTACCCGAAGGGTGTGAGTGCTTCGACATGCTACCTTCAAACAATATGACGTACAAATTCTACCAAGCAGTCAACATGCTTCATGAGCCAGCGGGAGAAATGTTTGAAGCACTAACACCCAAACCAAGTTGCATTATTTCTGACTTTTGCATTCCTTGGACTACTCAAGTAGCTGAGAAGTATCGTATCCCTAGAATTTCATTCCACGGATTTTCTTGCTTCTACCTCCATTGTCTACACCAGATACACACTTCAAAGGTTTGTGAAAGCATCACTTCAGAATCAGAGTACTTTACTATTCCTGGTATACTTGACCAAATTCAAGTTACCAAAGAGCAGGCAATAATGAACTCAAATTCGGATGAAATGAATGATTTCTGGGAGCAGAGAAGTCTCGCTGAAATGAAGTCATATGGGGTGATCATAAATACTTTTGAAGAGTTGGAGAAGGCATATGTGAGGGATTACAAGAAGCTGAAAAATGATAAGGTATGGTGCATTGGTCCTGTTTCATTATGCAACAAGGATGGCTTAGATAAGGCTCAAAGAGGCAATGCGGATTCCATTAATAAAGAGCATCATTGCATGAAGTGGCTAGATTTGCATCAACCCAAGTCTGTGCTCTATGTTTGTTTTGGAAGCTTGTGCAATTTGATTCATTCACAGCTTGTGGAGCTGGCCTTGGCCTTGGAAGATGCTAAAAGACCATTTATATGGGTTATTAGGGAGGGAAGTAAGTTCCAGGAGTTGGAAAAGTGGATCTCCGAAGAAGGGTTTGAGGAAAGGACCAAAGGGAGAGGCCTTATAATTCGAGGTTGGGCTCCACAAGTACTAATATTATCACATTCTTCCATTGGAGGATTCTTAACACACTGTGGCTGGAATTCAACACTTGAAGGGGTGAGTGCTGGAGTGCCAATGGTTACTTGGCCTCTATTCTCTGATCAATTTTTAAATGAGAAGCTTGTTACTCAAGTGTTGAAGACTGGTGTAAGCGTTGGGGTAGAAGTTCCAATGAAGTGGGGAGAGGAAGAGAAAATGGATGTGTTAGTGAAGAAGGAAGATATTAAGAAGGCAATATGCTTGGTGATTGATGATCATGGTGAAGAAAGTAAAGAGAGAAGAGAAAGGGCACGCAAACTTAGTGAGATTGCAAAGATAGCTGTTGAAAAAGGAGGGTCTTCTCATCTTGATATGACTTTGCTTATCCATGACATTATGCAATCAAGTAATCGTGAGGAGGATAAGCATATAAAGTCCATGCCTAAAGAGTCGAAAATACCCGTACCCCAGGATATTTTTGGATAAAATTAATCTGTAAGAAATAATAAATGGATGTATCTATTCCCATTAATAAATAGTAGGGACGTAAACAGATATCAAGTATCTGTCTTAAGGGTATTATTGGATATCTGTAATAATAAAATTATTTAAATCTTTTTGTTTTAATATATAACACGCGATAAGTGAAAAATATGTTATTACTTAAATTTTGTTTATATGAACTTGTGAGACTGAACTGTTATAACTTTTTAACTTTTGTGTTCAACTTATGAAATTAAAATATTTTAATTTGTTGACTTTTTTTTTAAATTCATGAGATTGAAATATTTTAAAATTTTATAATATTTTAGTGATTTAAATTTTAAAATTTAAATTATAACTTTTAAAATTATTAAAATAAATAAAAAATTATTATTATTATTATTTTTAATTATAAGTAAATTATGTAATTAATTTTTTCTTTAAGAGATAAAATTATTCGACTGTCCTTCCTTTATATATTAAAATATATAATGAATTTATTTAATTTAGTGTCTTTAATGTAAATTACACTCCTCTTTTATAAGAGATATTAGTATTACACTATTCATTATTCATATAATAAAATATCAAATAAATTACACTTTTATCTTTAAAAGTATAAATATTATATTATTATGTTTATAATTTAGATTATTTAATTTAACATCATTAAATAATATAATTATCCTGCATAATGACATAAACAAGAGTGCATCATAGCATTTCGGAAAGAAAAAAAATGGGATCAATCCGGACTGTGATTCGATAGGGGTATCCATCTAACGATCTAATTAAACCCCGATAATTTCACCACCTTAAACGAAACAAAAAAAAATCATTTATAGCTTAGTGGGCCTTGTCAATTAAGGAAATGAGAAAATAATAGCCCAATTCATTTTAGCTCAAACAACTGAAGAAGTATGAATATGTATAATATTTAAATATTTAAGCGAATAGTGATGAAAAAAGTGCGACAGAAACTTGCTTAATGTTAAGGTGTAGATATAAATTATACAAATGATATAATTTTAGAATTTCTAGAGAGTATTTTAGAAGTAAAATCGTTTCATAATTTCTCAAATAATAAAAATTAAATGGAAAAATGTCAATCATATCAAAGTAAACTTTGATATGCACTAGAAACACAATAATGTTTGAGTACGTAATCGTGAATTCCTTTGTGTATTCAAATTTATAATTATTTTTTCTTCAAAAAATAATAAGCCTTAGTTACGTAATCAAATTAGAGTTTTTTTTCATAATATTTACTAAAAATAGAAAAAACATAAATTTAATTATAGCATGTGACGTGCTCCTTAACATTCTTTTGTCCAACTTTTTTCTAGCCTCTCAAATGACTTAGCCTATACATAATATTTTAATATTTAAAATTTTTTAAAATTCATAAACTTAATCTATATATTAATAATTTTTAACTTAACGATTAAATCGCTAAAAATTTTTATATATAATAAATTATTAAGTAAAATATATTTATTTTTTAAACAAGTAAATCTTTTTTTAAAATTTGATATAAAATATAAATTGTTGAGTAAAGAAAATTTTGATAAGTAAATCTCTCCTTTTATATATATGTGTTTGTTTGTTTAAATTACTTAAATTAGTCATGTCTTTTGACTGATGCTTTCGTCATTCTCCACATAAAATAAATACCCGTATTTTAAAAAAATGTTTTCTTTGTTTTGAGAAATCGTCTCAATTATTTATTATTTTTTCTAAAGTATTTTGTAAAAATAACAAGAAAGGAGACACGTAAAGAAAGACAGGTGATTTGTGTCCAATAACAACACATTTTACCACACAAAATGAATAAAATTAAGTATATATTCCACCCCTTATCAGTCCCAATTATATATTCCTCATATTCCAATATTAAATTTATAAAAATAGTATTTTAAAAATTAAATTTAGAGAATTTTAATTAATAAAATTATGTATAATATTTAAATAATTTAAATTTTAACTTTAAATTATTATTTTTAAGAAAATTATTGAAATAAACAGAAATTATTATTAAAATAATTTTTAAAAAATAATTTAATTCTTAAAATGAATACCTATAAATTTCTATAAAATATTAAAAATACATAAATATTAGTTTAACAAATACTGGCACAAATGTAAAAAATAAATACAAAGAAATATTCATCTAATAAAATAGATAATAAAAACTACTATCGTTTCCACCACACTTTATTAACATCCTTAATCTAGACTATATAGTACACATCTCATTTATTGTTATGTGTTTAGCAATGTGATACTGAGTTTTCTATGCTTTTCTTATAAAAACCGGACAACGGACATGTGCATATGTACACGGTAAACGAAAACATTACTAGAATCAGAGATACTAGAAACACCCAGATTGGGCTAAACGACTAATTTGGTGTAGTTTTACAAACTAATTGTAAATAAATAATAATTAAGAAGCCAAATGGTGAAGAAAAACGATAAACTTCATCACGTTGCCGTAACATCTACTAATAAAATGAAATTAGAAAAAAAATTATTCATACATGTCAAATTTCGTCCTAATCAAGTTTAATTCCTAAGTAGTGAAGGAAGAAGTTTTATGTGAAGTTTTTGCCTTGAAAGGTTTGACCAAACTTCCAATTGCTGGGAACAACGTTGCGTGAAACAGAGAACCTACCATCACTGGCTCTGACACTGAACGTCAATTTCTCTCCCACTAACATGTCCGTACTCTCCCATTTCTGACCCCAATTTCTCTTCATATTTGTCCAATTTATGACCTTTTTGTTTCCCTTCACCCGCACTGCTGTCACGTCCCCAGCTCCTCCAACATTCCACACCAGTACTAGATTGAAGTACGGATTCCCATTTATCGTGAACCGAATTCCTCCTTGCTTCTTGCATGGTACCCTGCATGCATTGGATTCAGAGTTTAAAGAGTGAAATAATAAGAATCAAACGTTTTTGAGAATTTTTTTTTTTAAAATATACAATTATTTTTTATATAAAAGTTCTCAAAATACTTATAATAATAGATTTTATATGTATATAACCTGCGATATTGGACTGGGACGATGCCAGATTTGTAGAGTGCAATTTTGAGATATGCAGGTTTGGCTAAATCAAAGTGCTGGCGTGGAGGGTTGCACCATCCTCCATCATCACCTGGTTTATCAAAATTAGGGGGGCAATGGTTTGTTGCCGTCACAAAAATAGAGGGTTGCCCTGCCTTACACCACTGAGGAGAGTCTACACATTTCAACTCGTAACATGCTCCACATGTCTGCCCGTTTTTGAACAAAACTGAACTCAATGCTGTCGTGTCAAGCCCATAACCTTCTTTCACCACATCCTTGTACCCACAAGCTCCTCCTGTTTATATATATTAAACATCAAATATTGTCTTAACTACGCAATAACAGCTTTATAATATGTATATAGTTCATACCAAATGATCGAGGGCCTCCTTCATAGAACGTAGCATGGGCTTTCGCCCATGGGCCAGGCCAAGAAACGCGGTCAGGGGAATTCGGGCTTATGCTAACCATCTTGTTACGTCTTCCAACCATGTTATGAGCTGCATGTGACCATGAGTTTGCATGGACATTAGGAAGTGGAACTAATGCAACAAGAAAGAGCCATGATGTGGTCACCAGGGCTCCCATAGGGAATGCCATGGCAGCTTCACGTTTCATTAGACTTCTCTTCTGGTATAAGACTTTTGCTCCAGTTGGTGTTGTTGAGTGGTCATATATATACTACTTTCATGTTTAAGGTTGTCAGTTTGTGGAACGATATATACAACAGAACCAGCGTTTTTCTTGGGGAGTGAAGAATGCTTCAATTTTAGTACATGACTAAGATTACGTTAGAGTTGACGTGTAACTGTATCCTTGTGTCCTATAATCTTGCAGTTCACTCACTCCTACTCTTTCTGACACATGTTCTGGTATGCTGCTTAAACGTACGCATGCGTTTTATTGCTCTCAAAAGGGTGCTTGGTCAGTTAGATTTGTTCATACCGTACTAGGGGGAAGGCAACAAAAGTGCACGTTAGTTTAGCAAATCTTCCCAGATTTTTATTTATTTATGAAAATCGAATATGATATCAAGAAAGTTTAATATATTTATGCACATGTTCAATCAAGTTACATCACCTTATGTCTTCTAGTTCATCTTATTATGATTTTATTTAGAAGATTCTGTAGAGAAAAATGTTAATAATATATATTTTTTAATATTATATAATAATAATAATAATATCTTTAAAAAAACTAAATAATTTTATTAAATTTTTTTTTTCGTCCCTGGAGTATCCATCGTCGATAACAGTGACTAATCTTATCGCTACGTTTGAGACACCTCAAAGGGTGGGATAGCTGGTCCCAAGATTTAACGCGACTGCATACACAAGACAAATTCAAATTCTTGACCTTGCTTAAGCGTGGATCAACGCTAAATCACACGCTTGCTTGAGATTTTAATTAATAAGAAAAAGTGCATCGGAAAAAGAGTAACAAAAAGTATGTTCTTAACATTAACACTCTTATATGATACTATTATTGCTTCTTTTTTTTTATCCGTTGATATTATTATTACTATTTTGAAAAGGAAAATATTAATTAGATTAAATTTTTTATATTAAAATTTGTTCATAGACTTGTCTTTTTTAATAATGGTGTCTAGCTCAATTGGTTCTGTGTGAGTGTTATAAATTCTTTAGTACCAAGTTGAATTCTTAATGATAAAATAAATAGAATTATCTTTCTTAATATATATTTTATTCAATTGAAATTAAATATTAATATAGATATTGTATTAACAATAGAGAATTGAAATTGTTGATACAAGAATAATCGATTATTAGTATAAATATTATAAATATATATTAAGAATATTACATATTATACTAATAAATAATTATATTAATATGAAATATTGATATACCATTATTATATACCATATAATCGGTAGAGTATATTTTATTATTAGTGAATATTCATAATTCATAATAATTATATTTGTAAGAACATCAACAACATATGATATCATATGTATCACTTGTTTAAGTAATTGTGTCTTAATTTTGGTTTTGTTTTTTTATTAAAATTGACTTATATGTCTTATTTTTATTAAAATTTACTTATAAGCTTTATATTTATATACAATATGCTAGCTTATGAATAAAAAATCATTATACATGTAGCAAATATTGCTTAAGAGTTGCATAAAATGTTATGATAGTATAGACTTAATAAAATAAAAATAAGATACCTAATTAAATAATTTATATCATAGATGCTCTAACACATTAGTAGGACATTGCTGCTATTATGTATAGTGGCAGTAATACTCTTTAAAAAAATATTTTTAGAATTAGTTAGAATATTGTTATTTAATTTTTTAAATTTATTTTATTTAAGAGTTTATTGTGTATAGTGGTAGGACATTGTAGTAGTAATTATTTAAAATATGTTTATTATTTGCGGAGATTACTTTGATGATTAACAGATCTATTATACACTATTTTTCTAATCGCAAAAAAAATAATCTACCATACACTTTATACCGTATGGAAGCCGAGCAGGCCGAACACCCTAGTCTATAACTGAATACGCCGAGTACCCGAACCTATGACTGACTGAACCGAACACCCGAGCTAACCGACCACTAACGGAACGGAACGTGTCGGTATGCTCGGCCTAGGCATGGATTTATACCAAGGTGATTATGAAAAGATTAATTTACGTAATATGCCGATTTAGTCCCCTAATTTTTCGGGGCCTAGTCCTTAATCACGGCCCAATAAGAAACACTATAAATAGACCCCCTTTAAGGTACGTAACTAGATTTTCAACTACCGCATTTAATACGCCGAACACTTACTTGAGCGTTGGAGTGTCATTGCAGGCACCCCCCTCATTTTGGACTACTCTGAGAAGGACGAAAAGACCTAAACCCCGGACCCGACCCGCTACAGCAAGGATAATTGGAGTGTATACTAACATACAAACACACTTAATTTCAAAATCATATATTTTTCATGAATAATCAAAAACATATTTAAAAGCATATCGACTTAATTAGAATTCAAAAGGTTCATGTGCTTGGAGTATTACTATAGTCGCGCGGAATTAATAGTATGTAGTATGTACATGTTCTAAAGCTCACATGATACTAATTTTTACGAATAAAAATAAATAAATAAAAGAATTCACGTACTGGACTTGCCACTATTTATCAACCAATTTCAATTGCAAGGAAACATGATACATCAAAAGGCAAAAAAAAAACATACACAATTTCCACGTACAGACATTAAATGGCAATTCTAATTAGCTTTATTTCAATCAGTAATATTACAAATAAATTTGCAGCAAAAGATAAAAAAAAATCCTAATTTTAATAAAATTAGGCTTCATACGAAACTTATAAAAATAGCATTTATAGAAAATCATATAATTTTATAATGCATGCTCATGTTCTCATACGTAAATTGTAGTTTTTAATTTCTAAAGACTTCAATGATTAAAGTCAAATATAGGAATATACAAGTTAATGTTTTTATTCTATCAAGAAAGAGCACCTTAGGGATGTTTTTCTTTGATTAATGCATAAAGAAAGCAATATTTTGTCTTATTGAATCTTCTTTCTAGTATTTTTTTTCATTATTTTGTTGGTTATGATTGATAGAATTCTTTTATGTTAGGAAAGAGATTTATTTTAAGTTATAGTACGCATTATCCTTTAAATCATCATTTCCATGAAATATTAGTTATTTTTAAAAATTGTTTTAAATTCATTTATAATATAATCTTTGATTATTTAATTAATTATTTATTAGTTTCCTAACAAGTTATATGTAGCTCACATGATATATTAAATCTTACAAATCCCACATTCAATAGAGGACTTATTTGTTATGAATCTTCTAAACTTCTTTCTCTTCATTCTCACCTTTCTTCAAGTTTTAATTTCTCAAAAATACCTCACAATATATTAAAGATGAATTCTATAAATCATCATTGCTTCATGTGATCTATGGTAAACCACAAATAATTAATAACCTAAGATTAATTTAATTTTCAGTAATTATGATGGACCATCCCACACAACTTTCTCCCCCTCTTAGCAACCCTCATGACTCTCATTGTCTGAACCTCAACAACCGCCATCACTCTAACACATATGCATTGATCGGCATAGCCATAAAATTGATATTGGCGTCTACTACGATGAGGTTACACTCTGGATTTTCTCTCGTTGGTGTCAACTGTAACCCTTGCCCCTTTACGCAGTTGTAATATATAAGGATCAAAATCCTCTGTCTCCAACCTCTGTCCCCAAATCTTGTCCCTCCAATCACAAAATGTCACATCATTACTTTTAATTTTTAAAATAATAAGAATCAAACGTTTTTGAGAATTTTTTTTTTTAAAATATACAATTATTTTTTATATAAAAGTTCTCAAAATACTTATAATAATAGATTTTATATGTATATAACCTGCGATATTGGACTGGGACGATGCCAGATTTGTAGAGTGCAATTTTGAGATATGCAGGTTTGGCTAAATCAAAGTGCTGGCGTGG